CTTTGGTTAGATCCCCAGGAGTGGAATTGCTGGATCATGTGGTCTTCTATTTGTAGGTTGAATAGACTTATTTTATTTGGCCAGAACATTATTTATTTAGTTAGTTAGTTAATTTAATTAATTAGTTAATTCATTTTCTATGGGGCCCTATGTGCTCACTGGAGAGAGAGACAAAGAAGGAAAGTTAGAAAAACCCCACCCTGGGGAGTGATCACGCCACAATCCCTTCTCCGTTTTCCTCTTGGGACTTGTGCCTGGAGTTTTTCAAGCTGCCAGGTCTGGGACTTGAACCTCTCAGCTGGCCATGTGGGATCCAGCCACCTTAACCACTATGCCGCTTTGCTGACCCTAGCCAAAACATTTTTTAAGTGTGTATCTTAAGGTGATAATGTCACTTGTTTTTAGAATCCCTATAACTACTTCCTACTTCTAAAGCTGCTGCTCATATCCATTTGTTTGGTCCCTGAAGACATTTGAATTTGTGATCCTTCCTACAAATTATAAGTGAATTAGTTTTTTACATTGCTTTGTTGATCAGAAAAGTAGTTATATAAAGTTATAGGCAAAAAATAATAATCACTATGTCACATAACTTATGTTTTTATATATGTTATATAATTATTTAAGTTCAAAAGAATTAACTGTATCAATGAGCAAATTCAACCTTTTATGACATAGTTTACAACTTTAAGGCAGCATCATAATTCCCATAAATATCATTATAGTATTTTTTTATTGTCTTTCAGTTAGTGCTTAGGTTCCAGGTAACATTTTATGTGTAAATATTTATAATTTTATTACTTTCTTTTTAGTCTCATTTCTTTTGCATATGTGTTGTTACATTATATTAGAAAATACTTTGATCATTTAAGCCCCTGTTTACATAAGGCGATTACTTTCAAATTATGTCAGCCATTCATATAAAAGGATTACTAAACAATAATATGAATAATAGTGTAGAAGAAATAGTTTCAAAGCTGAGCTATACTTCTGGTCCCCTCAAGAGGAGCAAAACTCAAAGATTAGAGTGTCTAGAAGTGGATTCTCTGGTAAATTTCAGAGCTGATATACTGAAGCAGATACACTAAAGGCAAGGAGTAGAACCATATATATTTCAGTCTTTTCATGAATCTGTCTCCTCCCCTTGTATCCACTTAACTATATTAAGTGTTTAAAAGCCTGGATTAAAATATGTAGACTGGTCATGCCCCCCAGCTCTCTGGGAGAAACAAACTAAAATCTTCTAGAGAAGATACTGTTATCCTAGGCCTAAAATGAATCATATAGTAGTTTTTTTATGTGTGTTATTTTGGCTTTTTTTTTTTTTAACATTCCTCGTTTAGCTTATTTTATATAACCAGGTACACACACACACACACACACACACACACACACACACACGTATTACCAAGAGCAAGAAGCAGCAGAACTAATAGCAGAAAAGTGTTTGGGTATTGGAATTATCAAACCAAGAGAACCATCATGCTTACTAAGTTTAAACAATAAAAGAAAAATCAGTATATAATGATTGGAAACTATGTAAAAGGACAAGGCAGACTTGAAGAACTAGAGGGGCCAGCAGGTGGCATTGGTGATAAAGTCATTGGACTCCTACATGACTGACTGCAGTTCAAGTTTCAGGCCTGGTGGCTTGAAAATCATGTGTGTGTGTGTGTGTGTGTGTGTGTGTGTGTGTGTGTGTGTGTATGCATGCCTAAAATCTCAGGAGGAGAATGGAGAAGGGATTGCAGTGTGGCCATCCTTGCTGGGGGGTTATTTCTTACTTTCCTTTTCACTGTCTGTCTCTCGCTCTCACTCTTGCTCTCGCTCTCACTGGTGAGTACATGCACCCTACAGCAAAAGTAAAAAAAAATTGTTAAATAACATAGAAGTTTTAGGATCAGAAAGTATAATACCTGAAATTAATTCAGTGTGCAAGTTTAATAGATTAGACCATGCTAAAGTAAGCATCAGTGAAACAAAGTTCAGAAGCAAGAAGAAACAAAAGAGGGAAAATATATGGAAAAAGAACAGAAGACAGGTAAAATTCAAAGAAGATGCAGTGAGAAGGTCTTGTGTGTGTTTAATTAGAGTCCCAGAAGGAAAGGGGACACAAAGGCCAAAGGAAATATTTGAAAGGATAGATAAGTAGAACAAGAGAGTCCTAAAACAGATCCACAAATACTCAATTTATGAGAAAGATGGCACTGTAGAATAATGTGGAATAGTAATTTCAGTAATTGATACCTGACAATTGGCCATTGATGTAGAAAAACAAAATTGGGCCATTATAAACAAAAAACAATTACATATGGAATATAGACCTAAGTGTGAAGGGCAAAACAAAGTCTTCAGAGGATAACGTAAAATATCTTCTTAATGTTCAGGTATAGGGAAGTTTCTTTAACAATATACAAAATTACTGCATTACAATTATTAATGGTTTAAGAAAAAAAATAAAGCGCTGAGGAAGTCATGGAGATGAAAAGTTATTTTCAGTATGAACAATGAAATATTTTTATCTAAAATATTTTGAAGACAAACCAAAGCTGTAAATCACTGAGAAAAAGACCAGCCCCATAAAGAACTGGGCAAAATACGTAACACTTCAAATGATCAAAGGTATTTAACCTCACTGATAATCAGAGAACGTGATATTGATTCTAATTTTATTATAGCAAATCATAAGCAATCTAGAGTAGAGGATCAACTAAAGTTTCAAACTTATATTAATGCCATTTGGTCTTTACAAGCAATTTTTGTTAATAGGCTTAAAATACAGTACAGTGTTCACAATATTATATCTCATTCCATTTTGGTTTAAAAACAAAGCCAACAAATATTCATGTACATACATGAATATATATTTGAAAATATATGTACAGGGACATCAAAAAATTCATGGAAAAATAGAATTATGAGATTATTTTGGTACAAAGATTGGAAATCCAGGCAAGGTTTTTTTCATAATACACCTTTTCATGAACTTTCTGATCCTTCAGGTATAATTGCATGAGGTCTGGAAATACTCCAAAAGGTTAGTAGTTGTGTATGGATGATGGGACTTGGAACAATTTTAATCACATATCTTTTTTACTTATCTGTATTTTCCAGTGTTTCTAAATTGAGCAGGGACCAGCAGTTAGCGTAATGGCTATGTCGCTGGACTCCCATGTGGTCCACCACTGTTGTCAACCACTGTTCAAGTCCCAGACCCGGTGGCTTAAACTCACGCCAGGTGCATGTGCGTGCATGCCCAAGATCTCAAGAGGAGAATGGAGGAGAGGGGATTGCTGCATGGCCATCCTCCTGGGGGAGGTAGGGGGTGTGATTTCTCGCTTTCTCTTTGTCTCTCTGTCTTTCTGGCGAGCGTACGTTCCCTGTAGCAAAAACCTCTCCAAAATAAATAAATAAATAAATAAATAAATTGATCATGTACTGTGTTAGCTGTGTAATTGATAAAATAGAGTAACAAAATGGGGCAGTATATTCATTTTTTTGTTATGGGAGTCAGTTTTTATTTTTATTTTTTAATTAGCCCTTTTTTATTTACATTTTATCCTTGTATAACTTTATAACTCACAATATGTTTTTTTTTTTTTTTTTTTTGGAGAGGTTTTTGCTATAGGGCATGTGCGCTTGCCAGATGGAGAGAGGCAGAAAGTGAGAAATCACCACCCCCAGGGGGGATGGCCATGCTGCAATCCCTTCTCCTCCATTCTCCTCTTGGGATCTTGGGTACGCACGCACATGTGCCGGACATGAGTTTTAAGCCACCAGGTCTGGGACTTGAACAGCAGTCGACTACATGGGAATCCAATGACTTGGCCATTACGCTAACTGCTGGTCCCGACAATATGGTTTTTCAAAGTGCGCATGTAGTACATGACAGTGAAATCAAGACTATTACCATATACGTCATTTTCCAGATTTTATTAAACTTTGATCCAATGATCTGCTCCTTAGTGTTAAAGATGTGTTCATGCATATAGACATGTGGAATGTGCAGTAGTAATAAAGAATGTGAAGTGGAATAATATCAGTATTCTAAAGATATAGTTTAGGATTCAGTGACTATCATCCTTCGATTTTCTTTTCACTGAACTAGATCTATTTTTTTCTGCTGCTTTTTTGCTATTTATACGTAATCTTGCCTCTTCGTTTTAATACTTCTTCTGCCTCCCTTCTTTCCTGCATTGAGGATGCTTGAGGATCCTTAGTTTTTTTTTTTTTTTTCCAGTTAAAATTTTGCATTTAGACCTATAGGGAGGTTAGGGCTTTTCAAAGCTAAACTGTATTATAAAAGTGGAATTTATTTTAATAGTGTTATTAAAAATGAGGTAAGGTAAGTGAGTTTTAATAGGAGAAGATTTGTCTTCCAGCTTTTTCTCTGTCATAATAAAGAATGGTTATATTTTTGTTTGTTTTCTAGTTTAGGTGGGTTATCACTTGACAACAATTTTTAAAAATATATGATGTGCTTAGGACCAGCAGTTAGCGTAATGGTTATGTCGCTGGACTCCCATGCAGTCGACCGCGGTTCACATCCCAGACCCGGTGGCTTAAACTCCAGGTGCATGTGCGTGTGTACCCAAGATCCTGAGGGGAGAATGGAGGAGAAGGGATTGTGGCATGGCCATCCCCCCTGGGGGATGATTTCTCACTTACTGTCTGTCTGTCTGTCTCTCTGTTTGTCTGGCGAGAACACACGCCCTATAGCAAAAACTTCTTCAAAAATATATATATATATATGATGTGCTGTGTGTTGTCACAACTTCAAGAAGCTTAAAGAGAAATTTAGGATTCGTTGTGCGGGTTACCTTATCCATGTATTCTTGTCTGCTTTAACCTATAATTGTTTTTAGATTATTAATTGTCCTTTTTATAGTTTTTGGAAGTAGAGATGAAATATCTGAATCAGTACACATCTATTTAAATATGTATACCTATAATTGTACTCCCACATATTGTATAACATGTTATTTTTGAATTTCTTTTAGCCAACAAATGGAATCTTCTTGAGCATGTTTCTGATTGTTTTGCCACTGGAATCCATGGCTCATGGGCTTTTTCATGAATTGGGTAACTGTTTAGGAGGAACATCTGTGGGATATGCTATTGTGATTCCCACCAACTTCTGCAGGTATTGTGATCTAGTTAGTAACTACTGCCTGACTCATACTGTTTTCTTAAGATTTGTATAAATATATAATAATTCATTATGTCAAAACTAATATTTTCAAGATAAAATACCCTCTTACATTTATTAATTCCAAATTTTTAGATATTTTGATTTAAGTATGATTAGTTTATATTTCAGCTAGAAGTCAGAAAATGTGAATGAATTTTCTAAGGAAAAGTTCTACCCTAATGGGAGTAATCTTGTCTGGGCCAACTCTGCTGCCCGATGGCTAAGGGAGCTGGGTCCCACATGGCAGACCACTGTTTGAATCCTGGTCCTGTAAGTTTGAAAAATTCACTGGGTGTGTCTGTGTGCATGCCTCAAATCTCAATGGGACAGAAAAATGGAGAAGGGATTGCCTTGTGACCATGCCCCACTGAGGAGGGCCGGGTGCTTTCTCCTTCCCTCTCTGTTTCTTTGTTTCTCTTGGTCAAGCGCACATGCTGTCTGACAATTAAAAAGTCTTGGGGCCAGCAGATGGCATTGCAGTTGCATCACTGGACTTCCACATGGCCAACTGCAGTTTGATTCCCAGTGTGGTTTGAAACTCACGCTGGGTATGTGTGTGTACTTGCTCAAGATCCGAGGAGGAGAAGGGATTGCAGAGTGGCCATCCCCCCTTGGGGGTGATTTCTCACTTTCCCTCTCACTGTCTCTGTCTCCGACAAGCAGATGTGCCCTAAGGCAAAAACATCTCCAAAAAATAAGAGTCTTGTCCAATATCTGTCATTTGTTAAGAAAATACGAGTAAGGAACAAAAAAGGAATGCTGTTTACATTTAGATATACTTTCCCAGCTTTTTGTTTGATTATAATTTATTGATAAATACAATTTTTCTTAGAAACCAGGTTTTGATTTTCCAAGCTTAATTCTTAGTGTTATAAGAATTTTACTAAAGATGATCTTTTAAAATCCTGCCATTTGGTTAGTAGCAACTATTATGATTTGTAAATAATGAGTTATAGATGACATAGAGTCTGACATAGAATGAACACTTCTCAAACACCAAAATAACTCTTCTTTTTCTCCTTTTTCAGTCCGGATGGTCAGCCAACACTCCTTCCACCGGAACATGTTCAGGAGTTAAATTTGAGGTCTACTGGCATGCTTAATGCCATCCAAAGATTTTTTGCATATCATATGATTGAGACCTATGGATGTGACTATTCCACAAGTGGACTGTCTTTTGATACTCTACATTCCAAACTGAAAGCTTTCCTTGAACTTCGGACTGTGGATGGACCTAGACATGATACATATGTTTTGTATTACAGTGGACACACCCATGGTACAGGAGAGTGGGCTCTAGCAGGTAAATTCACATTTGGCAGTTTCACCATGTTGAAGATGCACATCTTCCCATAGAGACATTAAATATCCAATATTCTCAGTTTTCTACTTTATAGTTTACTAGATGTGCATATGACTAATTTTTTTTTCTCAAGCATACCTGTGTAGCTTAATTTTAATAATAAGATTTGGGGAATTTCTTGGTTTAGGAAGGAAAATAAATCTGTTTAAGACTTGTAATCAGTTTCTCTTTAGAGGATTTTCAGAATTATTAAATATAGTTAAATTTTTCAGAATCTGATCAACTTTTTTCACTAGTGTATCTAAGTTTTTAAATGTTACAGTTACAGTTTCTAATTGTCCTTCACATATGTGTTTTCTTTGTATTAGAAAGCTTATTAAAATTTTAAACAACTGGCAATGTAATATGGTGGGAATGAATAGTACTTGGGAGACTTTGGTTCTAATCATAATTTGCCATAGCTCTGTTATTTTAGGCAAGTTACTTCTATTAGCGTCCATGCTTTCATCTATAAAAAGAAGGGGTAATATTAAAAGATGTGACTTTTAAAAGATGTGAGTTTCATTTTTAGGTATACATTTATATATATATATAACATGTGCTCGCCAGAGAAAGACAGAGAGACAGAAAGCAAGAAATCACCCTCTGGGGGGATAGCCATGCTGCAGTCCCTTCACCACCATTCTACTCTTGGGATTTTGGGCACACATGCTCATGTGCCCAGTGTGAGTTTTAAGTCACTGGTCCAGACTCAGACTGCAGTTGACTACGTGGGAGTCCAGCCATAACCCCTACTCCATCTGCTGGTCCCTCTGTAAGATTTTTTTTTTAAATACTTTTAGGGTGTTGGAAAAATGTAACTGTTTTATATGCACTATGGGAAAAGAAAATGCTTTCTTTCTCAAGAGTTACTTGGCAGTACTGCCAAGTAACTCTTGAGAAAGGAGATCTCTCTGTATAATACATAAATTTGTTTATCAGTCTTCATAGCTTTAATAGAGACTATTAGTCAAAGGCTCTGTTTTGTGAATTATTATTTGCTTATACCTAGAATAGAACCTGGCACATAGTAGAGAATTCTTAAGTAATTAGTAGTTGGAGCCCAGCCATGGTAGTGCATGCTGATAGATGCTACCTTTGTGTAGGCAGAGGCCACACAGGAGGTGTACCCTAAACATTCTAGCCGGGTAGTTTATGCCTGTGGTCCCAGCTTAGTCCCAGCTATTCAAGAGGCTGGGCAGGAGGACTGCACCATTGTGGGACCCTAACTTTAATTTTAAAAAAAGAGATGAAGTCATTGAATAAATCATTAAAAAAGAAAGGTAATTTTCTTTAGAGTAGAAGCAGTTTTTATTTAGATTTAATAATATCCTTTTTTTCATAAAAGGTTTTAGATGTTTTAAACCAATAACAAAATGGTAATAAACTAATCACAAAATACAAGTGGACACACAAACAAACAAAGGACAGAGGCAGAGCTGCTCATAGAAGAATTCCAGAAGGAAACAAATAAACTCAGGTTAAAGTAGCATGGCTTTATACTTAGATTTATTTTGAGAGATTTTTGCTTTAGGGTACATGTGATCACTGGAGAGACAAAGAGACAGAAAGCAAGAAATCACTCCCCTGTGGGGAATAGCTACACTGCAGTCTCCTCTTATCCTCTTGGAATTTTGGGCATGCACACATATGCACCTGGCATGAGTTACAAGCTGCCACGTTTGGGACTTGAACAGTGGTTGGCCATGTAGGAGTCCAGCCACCTTAACCACCACACCACCTGCTGGCTGCGAAGTAGGATGATTTTAAGCCAGTATGACCTCACTAATCCCATGCCAGATTTGTAACCAGGACTTTATCATAAAGAAAAAAAAAATTTTGCATTTTTTTTCCCAACAAATGTTGAATAACTCAGTGGCTTTCTAGAAGGAAAGATCAACTAGCATTTATTGGGCACATTTTAAAATACCGGCCTCTGTGCTTAGTACTTTGAAGTAGGATGATTTTAAACCAGTATGACCTCACTAATCCCATGCCAGATTTGTAACCAGGACTTTATCATAAAGAAAAAAAAAATTTTGCATTTTTTTTCCCAACAAATGTTGAATAACTCAGTGGCTTTCTAGAAGGAAAGATCAACTAGCATTTATTGGGCACATTTTAAAATACCGGCCTCTGTGCTTAGTACTTTGAATACATTATTACATTTAATCTATACATGAAATCCTTTGAGGTAGAAACTGTCACCTCTGTTATCTTCATTTTTTGAAGGATGAAATGAAAGCTGAAGGTAGTTACCTAGCTGATCTATGGTCATACCACTATGTGATACAACTGTGATTCAATTCCAGGTCTGCCTGACTCCTAAAATCTATTTTTGCCTCACTGTACCATGTTCCCACCAAGGGAAAG